TTTAATTGAATCTTTTAAAGATAAATCATTTTCATGAATTAATGTATCATCTTGATCTTCTATTTCAGTAATGATCTTTTTTAAGTCAGAAATAGTTATGCATGCGTTATCTTCTCCAAAGTTCATTATTAAATGTTTTGAGTACAAACGTCTTTACGCCTCAATTGTTCATTGAAATTTGATAAGATATTGAAGAATAAAATTTTAAATTGAATGAAAAAAATTCATATTCACCACTTTTTCTATTTATAATTGTTTCATAACATCAGGATAAAAAACTGCAATTTTCTTTTTTAAAAACAAATTATAAATCAGATTTCTATGAAATATGACATTATTTTATATGTATATTTTGATTTATTATATAATCAATATAAAACATAATAAAAAAGTTTGAAATTAAAATCAATATATTATTTCAATAAAAAAATATTGTATTATACATTTATTGTAAAGAGTATATTATTGGAACATGGCTGTTGATCAATAGTGAGAATTATCAGCTCATAAAAGATAATAACGACAAAATCGATAATCGATAATTAATGATAAATACGTAATGAAAAGCTGCCGATATTTGTTTGCTATAGGGAGGTTACGAATGGATAATTAAGAAATAGATAATAATCCCTGCAAAGAAAAAATCATTTGCAAATTATTTAATAAATTTTGCAGCAAAAGTTGATGGTTAGTATTATTAAGATTGAATGCATATTACTCTTTTAAAGATACCGAACCGTGTTCGTACTCTTGCTATTTCTGTTTTTTATGGCAGTCAAGGCTTTGATGGTTCTTTAATTATTCCGGATTCTGTCTATTCAATTGATATGTATTGTTTCTTCAATTGTACGAGTTTGTCTGGTCAGTTAATTCTTCCTAACAACATGACTCTTATTGAGCAACATGCGTTTGAAAACTGTCATAGTTTTTCAGGCTTGTTAACAATACCTAGACCGGTCACAACAATTAATGAATATTCCTTTCTGGTGATTTAATCTTTAATAACTCTGTGACAAGTGTTGGCGAATCATCATTTAGAAACTGTTATGGATTTAAAGGAACGATAAAAATGATGAATTCAATTCGAGGCATTGAAAAATATGCTTTTTATAATTGTTATGGTTTTTCTGGAACTTTAACTTTACCACAAAATCTTCAATAGAAATTCTAATTAATCTATATCGCAATATGCATTCTATAACTGTTATGGATTCATATAATGCAACCACAGAAATAGGTCCATATGCATTTTACAATTGTTCTGGATTCACAGGTAATTTAAATTTAACTGGCACATTGAGCATAGATACTAATATTAATTCAATTCAGCCTTATGCATTCTATAATTGTCATGGATTTACTGAATTGATTTATACTAATTCAGTCAAATCAATTGGTGATTTGGCTTTCTACAATTGTTATGGATTTAAAGGTCCTTTGAAAATGTTTAATTTGACTACTTCTATCGGCTCTTATGCCTTCTATAATTGCCATGGATTCACTGGATCTTTGATTGTACCTGTTCATTTGACTTCTATTGAGCCTTTCTTGTTTTATAATTGTAGCGGACTCAATGGAAATTTGGTCATTCCAGAGCCCGTTCAGACAATTTGTGAATCGGCCTTTGAAAATTGTTATGGATTCAATGGAAGTTTAACTTTTTCAGGCCCTGTTAAAACTATTGAAGAGGCAGCCTTTAAGAATTGCAATGGATTTAAAGGTTCTTTAATCCTTCATAATAATCTTCAGTCAATTCACACGGCTGCTTTTTATAAATGTTCTGGTTTTACTGGTTCTTTAAATCTTCCAAAAACAGTTGAATTGATTGATGAATATGCATTTACAGATTGCAAACTTTGCGTTCTACAATTGTGCCAGTTTTGTAGGCGATTTAATCCTTGTTGTGTTGCTTGTGAAGAAAAAGAGAACTACACGGAGATTAATCGATAACGCAAATAAGAAGAATGGCCAATTTGATCCAAAGCCTCTGATAACTCAACCATTGGTCTAAATAATAAATAATTAAGTCTATAACTTCATTTAATTTTATTTTTAAATAAAAAATTTTTTTCTGAAGCATGATTTGAATTAATTTAGATAAAAATAGATATAATATTCATACAAAAAATAATTTTAATAATTCAGGTTATTAAACTTTTTGAATTTGAACTAATTCAAATAAAAAGATAAAATTTTCAGAAATTATTTTTTGAATGAGTTTCCTAAAACCCCAGCTATTTTTTTAGATGACTCTAAAACAAAAAGAATAAAAAAAAAATTATTTTTATATATTTGTTAATATTTTATTAAATTTGATTTGTTTCAAATTTGAGAGGAGGCTCTTCGAGCTGTCCAGTTACCTGCAAGTCCTTGTTCCAGAAAGGGAAGAACAAGGCGGCCATTTCGTCATCTTTCTTCAAAATAGCGATTCTGTAAGGGTTTGCCTCAGGCTTTGCGCTGTCCGGCGAGCATCCCGAGCTGAGGAGTGTCTGTGCCGCCTTCACTCTTCCGTAGTAAGCAGCGTACGATAGGGCGTTCCAACCGTCGATAGCAGAATTCGGGTCCTCCATGTTCAGCACGATCAGTCTGCAAATGAGGTGGAAACCAGACAAAGCTGCCAAATGCAATGCAAACGGAACCTGGTGAATTTGACCAGTACAAATTGACCTATAAACCGAAATGATATCATTTGAACGAATTGCGTTTTCAACGTCGATTGAAACCTTCTTTACGAACGCCAGATTCTTGTATTTCTGAGTAATGAAGTAGCATCTGCTTTCCTTGGATGCATCAGGACCAATTTTGGTAACCGCCTGATTTTCACCTTCATTTGACCTTCCCAGATTTTCTTCGAGAATTTTGTTAGCGTGAAGGTTTCCGATGATTTTGAATAGCTCTATCGTCGTATCGTCAATGTCATCAAGTGTCGTTGACCTCACTTTTGAAACCGACGTTGTCAGATATCGGTGAACACCGCTGCATTGAATGCAAATAACAGTCGTCCAGTTAATGCACACCCACGTCGGAGCCTTGGCGCCACAGTCCGCGCAGATTGCGTTTGTCGGCATTGACGAGCAGATGTTCATGATTGTCGACGTGTTCCGTGCCAACAAAAGATTGTTAGCAAAGTCATCGTCGTTGTTCATTGTGGTCGAACTCTTCGTCGGACTGGAGCGCGCGAGAAGCCACTCGATGTTGTTCTGTATGATGTTGATCCACTTGTCGCGATCGTAGCTCGTCAGCGCCTGGAAGACGAACTTGTACTCGGTCGAAATAAGGGTGAAGCACGAGGGACGCTCTGAATCTTCTATCGGCTTGACGGTTGAACACAAAAGTTTGTACGTTTTGGCAGGTTTCGTACTACTCTTAAAAACCGAAAATAAACCGTATTTTAGTATACAATATCGTTTGTCCCACTTTTTGAATTTGGGCTTCTTCAGCCACAGGAAGCCTTCATAGGTGAGGTCATTGCAGGACGCGTAAACGGTCGACTCATTGAAGGACTTGAAATAGAGATAGAAAAACTTTTGAAGGGAAAGCTCTAGTCGCGTCGTGCGAATCTTGTAGTCCGATAGCTCATCAACAGTGGACGGAAGCGCCTGCTGGATGATGTTGAAGCTATCTTTCGACTTTTCATAAACTTGGGCACATTGCTCAAATGATTGACCTAAACGATTGGCAAATAAAATAAACTAAGTGTTAGATTTATATATATAATTAAAAAATATAAATACATAAAAAAAAAAAACATCATAAAAAATAAACCATTCAATTTTTCTTATGATGTTGATTATTTTTTTAAAATGAAAATATATTTTGTAATATTAATCACAAAATATATTCTTGTATTTATATCTTAAAAAAAACATACATATGATGTCATTTCAAGAACTCGTTTTCGTTCAATTAATCCAAGACTTCTCGAAAATGAAAAATTGCTTTTGATGGCCATCCAATTTTGTGCGAGTAATTTGGCTTGTAAATCATGAAATTCGTTATTTTGAGAACGCTTTTTCGTTGGAACTGATACATAAGAATCTAAAAGTTTTGAATATGACGAATATTCTTTATTTGCAGCTTTTCCATCTTCTTCCGCTTGTCTTATATCGCTGTTTGTAAACATATCAATTTTATCAATAATTGATTCTTGAACTAATTTGTAATGATCTGTCATTAAAGTCGCAAATTTTGTAAGAATATTAATTACCGGACTTAAAGATTTGTCTGGGCCTATAAGATTTTCGAAGTTTTTTACAAGTTTGTTTACGTTTTGGCACATTTCATTTCCACTTTCGATATATTTGGCAAAAACTTGCCGCGTTTCTTCAATATTCCTTTCTAACTCATCAACTTGATGCATTCGGTCTTGTAAAATTAGTTCGTTTTTCGGTGAAAGCTTATATTCATCTATTTGCTTTTGCATTTAGAATTATTTATATTATTGAATGCTTTTTCTCAATTTTTGAAATAAAATAAAATAATTTCCTAACTTTTTAAAAGATGTAAATATTTTCAATAAAACGTTTAGAAATAAAAACATTCATGCTTAATACTCAATGGAAATACAAAAAACAAAATATTTATTTAATTGGTAGTAGTATCTTTCATATATTATATAACAATATCAATCCAAATGTATAAAAAATGCAATAAAATGATTAAATAAAAATATTTTTTGCATTAAGATTATGTATCTTTTAAATAGAATATTGATTATTTATATGAAACATTTTAATATTTTGCAAAAGAACTTTTAAAATGAGATCTAGTAATAACAGATCCAAATGAATTAAAAAAGAATTACAAAGTATGTAGTAAAAATCTCTTATCTGGATTAACCGATTTTTTAAAACCTAAACAAAAAGGTAATCATTTAAAAAAGATCAAAAAATTCAAACCATTGAACTATGCTGGAAATCAAATATGAAGTACTTTTTAATAAAAAATAATTACTAAATTTTAATATATCATAATGGATGATATGCCATAATATACAAGAATCCTGCGTAGTTCAATGGCTAGAACGCTTGATTTACACCCAAGTGATCGAAGTTCGATTCTTCGCGTCGGAATTTTTTGATTTTTTTTAAATGATCGCTTTTTTTTTTAGATTTAAAAGAATCATTTGATCCAGATAAGAGTTTTTTTCATATTGAAAAAGATGATCCCTTATTTGAATGCATTCAATGAAAAGTTCTCTTCTTTTAGAAGAATTTTTTAAAAAAATATTATTATTCTTAATAATAAACTCTATTTTTGTGATTTTCTTTTCCCACGGTATTTTTCTTATCAAAATTGTACAATCGCTTCTCTTCCAACTTAGATAAGTTGGGATTCTTTTGAGCTAACAGATGAATCTAATATAACGGAATTAATGTCCTTGTTGTACCTGAACTTGCCATCTGTCTTGCCTATTCCAGTTATTAAAATCTCTAGTTCAATGAGGTTTTCTTTCTTCTTTTTTAGTGAAAGGAAATAGCTGTAACATTGGTTAAATAGGGCCAATGGATATTTTCGATCAATTACAATGTGTTTAAATTGAATTATTAAACTATCAAATGCAGTGTTAAGTGCATTTTTTTGTTCAAGTAACTCATAAACTGGTGAAGTAGTATATATAAATGGCGTGATTATTTAACGTCCCTTCGGTCCGTCAAATAATCCCTCCATTTACGCCCTATTCAAGTCTATAAATGGCCTAAATTGGTTGTTTTACAGCTTGTAGAAGACCCCTAGTTGAGGTCCTATTCAAGCCTATAAATGGTCTAAAATTGGTTGTTTTACAGCTTGTAGAAGACCCCTTGTTGAGGCCCTATTCGAGCCTAAAATTGATTGTTTTGAAGTTGTTGAGACAAAAAAATTATATAAACTTTTTTAATCAAATTTTGTATATTTAAAGCCATTTACTAACTTCTTTTCCTTTAGTTCTTTTTTGATTCTCCTTCTGATTTCGCTAGCGTTGCGCTGTTCAAAGTCTCCCTTACCTTCATGTAATAGAGTTCTTCCAGCCTCCATAACAAATACACCACAATCATAATCATTATCTTGTTGGGGACACTCCACAGGATAATATTCTAGTTTCTTTTTGAGTCCTTGATGAGTAATGAAAGCCTTAATATTTTGCTCTAATTCAGGATATTCATATCCGTCATTCATAGAATCATATAACTCTATAGCGCCCGTCTTATATCGAATAACTATCAATACCCAATGTCCTGCCAACTCGCAAGGCCAATATATTTCGTCATATCGATTAAACTTTTGAGGACAAGCCTCTTTCATTATTAAATCCATAATTTCTTTTGCATTTAACTTCGGATATATTGGGCATTTCTTTCTTGTAGCTAGGAGATAGTATAAATTTGGAGCCAAAATAAGTATTTTTCCAGCTTTTTTAACCTGTTTGCCTTGCTTTTGTAGGAGCTGAAAATAGTCATTAATAACCATTTCTTCAATTGTATTGTTCATATTAAGAGAATAATATTCATCATCTCCTACTTTTTTTGGTATCGGCTTTAAGTTTTGATTATATTCTACAGGATAATAATTATCTGGTAATTTTGAATCATGGAATGGATTATAAAGAGGTCCATAAACCTCTTGTGAAGGGGAACTTTTACGAGATGTTTTTGATGAATTTTTTGATGAAGTCTTAGCAGAATTTTTGCGAGATGTCTTCTTTGATGCAAATGCTGAAACTTCTTCTACGTCTGATTCATGAGCTGATGTTTTGCTTGATGATTTAGCTGTTTCTTTAAAATATGGCATCAAATCCTTTAATATTTTTTCTCTATATGCTGGTATTTCGCTTGAATAGAACTCCTGATTTTCTTGTAGAATATAATATTGACAATGACGAAGAGTGAAAACTCCACAGTCAGACCCATTATTTTGATACGGTCCTTGAGCATGAGTTATTACCCAACCATTCTTTGTAGTATGTAATTTCTCTATCATCTTAAGGACTGTTTTTTCGGCTTCAATATCTTTATGACCTTTCATTGAATCATGAATTATAATTTCTTTATTTTGAAGACTTATCAAGCAAAGTATATAATGAAGACCGTTATTTTCTCCAAGTTTGCTGCTTGAATGAGTAGTTATAGGGAATAAAATATCATAATACCAGTCTTTTAAGTCCTTATAGGTAGTTAATCTTGAGTCAATATCTTGCATATCCTTTAATGTAAATTTCTTTCCGCATTTCCTTAATGCTTCCCAAAATATAGGTTTCAAAATTAAGATTCTATGTTTAATATTGTGGTCTTTAGCTAAACATTCTAAATAACGAATATAAGAACGAATAGTATTATCATCTAGCCATTCTCCAGGCTGAAGAGAATTCACATCTGATTGACTAATTCGAATACCAGAATAAGGAGCAGAAAGAGGTTTAAGTTCTCGAGAAGAAGATGATTTATACGGACTAGCTTTTGCCCTCGTAGAATTTTCTGAAGACTTTGTATTGAATAAATCTTCTAAGGAATAGTCAATTGGAGATTTTGGCTTTTCTTCTTGTTTCTTTTTTTCTTTTGGCTTAGGTGCAGGTGCAGGTTCAGGTTCGGGCATAGGAAGGGCATAATCATCATTTTCTTCATCAAGTTTGATAGATTTTTTATTGGATTTCTTAGGTTGGTCAGGACCGTCAGATGAATCAGATAAAAAGTCCGAATCAGAATCGGTCCAGAAGGAAGGCTTATTTTGTGGTCCAATTTTCTCTGCGTATGTAGGGTCAGGAAGATAATCTCGAACTAATCTGAAATACCCTCTAACAGCTCTTAAAGTACCATATTTTGGTATATATTTATATAATTCCATACTTCCATTCCTATTCTTGACTATAACTAATAAATATCCTGTTATTTTGACTTTCTTTTTACGAATTTCTTTTATATATTTTAGCAATATAATATTTGCAGTATCAGATAACCAATTATATTGACAAGATAACTGCATAGTATTTTTATGGAAAACGGCTAAAGGATACCGAACTTGATTTGTCATCGCAGTAAGATTCTCTCTTAATATAGTATCTAAGGCAGGTTTAAACTTTAAATAACCTCCAACAAACATGTATTTTGTCATTGTTTATTTATATTTTTAAAAATTTTAAATGACAGATTTAATTTTTCCTATAGAGAGTACGTTATACATTAAAAAAGGGATTGATAAAATTATAAAACATGATGATAGAAAAAAATGGTTTCCTACTATCTTTTTGGACGGCGAAAAGGATGAAAATCCGAATGATATATTTATTATTCAACAAGCAGCGATAACAAGAAAGTCAAGGAATCCTGGTAGAAAAACAAAACAAAAAAATAATGATGAAAATAAATATAGAATCTTTGTCGAAACTTTTGAATGGTACGATAAGAAAGAATTCTTAGATAGATTAAAGATTTTTGCCGAAGCATGTAAAAAGAAACATATTACTATTTTTGGTATGATTTATGTTCATATAGGTTATTATGATAAAAAACTAAGATGTAATAAAACAGCGGAGACTCAAAAAATAGTTATTAAGAAAGGTAAAATTGTTCCTTCAAGAATTAGGATAACAGCAAGACAATGCCAAAATGTTATGCATAAAGATAATAGAGAATATAAAATCGAAGACCTTTATGAGCCTCCTCCAAATGGAACGAGCAATAGAGCTGAAACAGACGAGAATCTTTTTGATTATAACGATGATGGAGAAAGAGAATTTGAAATAACAAATTCGAAATATCAAGATGATGAAGAAAATTATCAAGCCGCATTAGCGAACATCAAAAAAATACCAAAGAATAAAAAGGCCTTAAAGAATAAAACAAAGACGACAAAGAATAAAACAAAACAAACAAAAAAAGTAGTTGAAACACAACAAGAAGTAGCCCAAGGAGATGATGACGACTTTTATAATCCAGATGAAGATAACTATTTCAGAGATACATCAAATACTGATGCGGATAGTGATGCTTTACTTAATGATATTATGGACTGGGTCAATAAAAATTAGAAATCATATCCATTTTCTTGATAATAATTATATTGTTCTCGATATTCATGATAGATATACTTTTTTTGTTTCTCAGATAATTCATCCCATCTAGGGTCTTCCATAAATGCTTTTTTCCTTATTAGCTTCTCTTTTTTCTTTAATGAATTCATGAAATATTTTCTTGCTTCGGCTAATAATTCTGGATTTTTAGACAAAATCTGTCGGTCAAATTTCCGAAAATCTATATCGTCGTCAGAATCCTTATCAAAATCATCTTGAAATCCTACATAAGTCGCTTCCATTTTACCTGTTTTTGGATTATATCTATCTTCCCATCCTGCAGCATGTTTTATTTCTGTTGTTGGGAGCAGGGCTCGTTGAGCAATTCCTTCTTTCCTTTCTTTTTCTAATTCTTCTTTTGATTTCTTTGTTTTTTTAAGTTCTTCGATAGGTGGTGGGAGAGATTCTTCGATAGGTGGTGGGGGAGATGTTGCTGGACGAGATGTTGTTTGGGATTTTTTATTTACTTTTTTTTTCGATGAACTTTACGGGCTGCTCCAACTCTGCCTTTTACACTTTTTTTGACCGAACCACCTCTTAAACTCCATTTTTCTCCGAAAATAGATGTCGGAATATATTCCCCATGGCTTTCTTTCCCTCTCATGAAATAAAATCCTCCAACAACAGGGCAGTGATGATGACGAATATATTCGGCGATAGTCTTTAATTCCTCTTTTGTTTCTCCCCAATCACCCCATTGATATATTGTTGTTCGAATCCCATGCTTGTCTGCGACAAACAAATTATTTTCTTTCAAAATTTTATTTAATTCATTGATTTTTTTCTCGCTTGGTGTATTTCTCCAATATACTGCTCCCTCTCCTATAGCCATACATAAAGGACCTGGAGTTGCTTCATCGCTCAAATTGAATTTATAATTTAATCTCCAATCCCAATCACAACGTTTTATATCTATTCCGTCTTTGTCCATTGTCATAATCATTTTATCTTTTCCGTTATCTCCTTTTAATGCAAGAAATCGCCCTGAAACTCTACTACCTATATATTCCCAGACCTTATTAAAACCTT